GCAGACATGTTCTTAATTAAGTCACTCATCAATGCATTATCGGTTAAAATATTTCTCAATTCAGATAGCTTTAGGGCGAGTGAAACATTATAACTTTCCTTTGACTTATTAGGAGTGCCTTTGAGTGGACTTTTGACGTTTAGTTTCGTCCCTAAGCCTTCAATCCATTTAATGTTACTTGCTCCGAATTCGGTAAGATAAGAAATTTTGCAAACCATTTTTCGGACTTTCAAACCAAGATCATCGTTCCGCATTCTCATTTCGATACTAGAGAAAACCATCTGTGACAGTTCTGCGATATCTTTCAGGCCACTCGATTCTGTCGGAAGTGTTAAGTTTTTTATTGCTTCTTTAGCATAGCATTTAATACTTCTAACAATATTATTATCGATCTTATTGTTACTCGAAAGTAGCAAGCTTACACATTTTAACATATAAAATGGCATCCAGTAATCTTGCTTTATAGATATGTTGGTTTCTTGTCTATCTTTCGTCATATCGATTATATTTAGGATCTCATGGAGAAGCATTCGTTCGTGTTCTGTCTTTTCGGTTATGGTGTTATCCAGTTCTTTAACAAGCATTTCAAGATCGTCCTGTTCCAAGGCCTCAAAGTCTTTTGTGGTCAAATTCAACTTCGAGCTGTCAAACGCTTCGGCCACTTCTTCTATTTCCTCCAAGCACGTGCTGTTAACAATTTTCTCCAACAACATCTTCATAATTTTCATTCTCTTTTCTTGTAGCATACCGTTAATCGTAGTGCCAATCTCTTTAATATCATTTTGAACGCTGACAAAAAATTTCACGTCCGACTTTTCTTCGATTTCTATTCTTTTCGCATGTGCATCAGCATACGACAGTGAGTTACGCAAGTCCATAATAATTTCTCTCGTGTTTCTTGGCAACGACAGTAGCAAAAGTTTGCTAATAGTAGGAGATAACTTGGGAGATTCTAAAGTATTTGTCAAACAGTCCCCGATGACTTGTAAAACTCTTGAAATAATCAGTTGCCCCTCCCTCTGTTCAGTATCGACCGATAACGCTAATTTAATGTAATCGTTCATTTTTTGTAAAGAATAGACATCTCTAATTTGACGATGATCGATATATAATTCTTCGAATTGAGGATAAATGTTAATTATTCTTGCTACAATTACCTCACGTTCTTCTTTCGGGAGATCAGAGCACAACGCAAAATCTTTCTCATTTTCAAGTACTTTTACAAAATTCTCCAAATAACCAAACATTTTGCTTCTGTTTAACGTGACCCGGTAAAATAAATTTAGTTCTTGCTTTTCCACGAGCGATGAAATGAAACTAGTCAAGCAAAACTCCATCTCTTCCCAAGGTATCTTATTGTACGTCGATTTCAGTTGCTGTTTTAATATATGAATATTCTGCGAAATACACTTCATCAAGAATAAAAATCTTTCATTTACTACTTTTGTCCTCGAATAATCAGCCTCTAACGTATTAACATTCGTAATCACTAAGCCAATACGTTCTTTGATGTAATCGCAAGTGTTATTCACAGTTCGACTATCAAGAAGGTCGTCAGAAAAGAAACGGAGTTCTATTAATTTGTTTTCAATGTACATTTGTATCTCATCTGACAATGGTACATTCTTTAACTGTAGTTCTTCATAGACGTTTGAAAGGGTTTCATCTAATTGTAATGAATGAGTAGCTAAGTAATCATTTGGCCACTTATTGATGAGGGTATTAAGTAGTTCAACATTGTTCGAACGCACAGAATAATAAAACGCATTGTGGCATGTTTCGTCTTCATCGTTAAATGTTATAGCGTTTCTCCCAATATTAAGAGTCAAATTGTTTAAAATCTCGCTGCTGCTAAATATATATTTTAGAATCTCCACTTTATTATATTTACAAGCTAAGATAACTAGATTCGTCTTTCTGATAGAATTATCTGTATTATTATAGAAATCTTTCAATTTAGATTTATTTTCTATGTCGTTCACGTATGTAATGAAAGTGTCCAATCTTTTAACAGTATTCATATCACCTTTTAACACTGCCATTTCAAGTTCATCAAGAATCACAAAGTAAAATCCTCTTTTCTTCGACTCTGCATCACAGAACTGTCGATATTCTATTGCAAACTCCTCTTTCGACACATTTGCATTTAGTGATTTATATTTATTATAACATTCAGCATACTCCTTAACATTTTCTTCAATATCAAGAGACGATTCGTTTTTTGTGTCGAAGGTCGATTCGTTTGTGTCCATAATTCTAGAAATACACTTGTAGATTAATATATGTATACGGACAATATTATTAGAGTTGAGCGAGAATCTGAAAATGTCGGATAGGGATAAAAATTTTTCTCGGGATCGAGATGAAAATTCTTCTCAGGGTCGAGAAGGGTTTTGTAAATTTTAGCATTTACGAAAATTTCATGATTCCCGGAAGTTTCATGTTTCCCGATTCTGTTCGGATTCTCGAGTATGTTCGGGGTTTCTAACTTTTATCAAGAATACTGAACATTTAAAAAATTCGATATTTATGATATTTTATTTCAAATTTTCGCCTAAAAAGGCTAATTATTACTTATTTGGTATATTATTTACACCTCATTTTCCAAACTCTATAACCCTACACTAACAAATTAAATAAATAAAAATAAGAATATCGTTCTATAATTTAATTTTCGAAAAAGCTTAAAATATCAAAAATCTCACACCACTATTGATTTTGTAGTCTCATAGCAGTAATCAAATCCTCGAAATCTGTAGGCATCCCGGACCTGGACATTGTGCAGAATTTTTTCGGTGAAGTCGAATGTTCTCGAGAACTCGTTCCGTCCCGATCCGTCCCGATCATCAGGTTCTCGCATGTTTAAGTAATTTTTATTGTAATAACTTTTAAAAAAAAACACTTACCTTAGCATTAATGGCGAAGGAAGGTGATGAAGAATGCAAATATCTATTTACCAGTGTGATTATTATCTTATCTATTAATCTTCCAAATCAATCAGATTTTCTATGTAAATACATAGCTGTCCAAATAAATACAAAATATGAATTGTTTATATATAGAAAAAAATGATTCAACGGTCGTTAGCAAGGACAAAAGCAAGACTATCATACAAGGTGAGTCAGTAAGAAATACCGTATACAATAACTTGTCGTTTAATGGTTTTATTAAAATATGCTATGTATAAAGTCGTTATATGATGAAAATTATTAAAAATATGTGTTCCTGCAGTTTGTTACATTTAAATGTATTTCTTTGAGCCTCTATAATGTAGTCAATGACCAGTAAATAATTGAATTAAAATAGTCTCTTACTGATATGATTTCGTATGATAATCACGAGTAACTGTTAATTCTATTTAATATACTCACCTATTAGATCCATATATTTGCCACCAAGGTATTCTATTATTCGGTTCAACACTTACTAACATAAAAAGTGTCAGTACAATGTAAAATACAGTTTAATTATTTAATGTCCTTGCACGTGAATTATATTAACTGATTTCATACAAGGGTTGCTAGAGAACTTCATATTGCTAGCTTTTATGAAGATATGTTAGAGTAGTAAATGCTAGGAAATTCACCGGAGTCACACGAACTTATAGTAGTGCGGAATAATTTATATATTTTTTGTGCACGAACTTAAAATTCATCCGCACTTTGCAAGCAATGAACGTCTTTGGATTCTAATTACAAGTTAAGGTCTGTCTAACGAGACAAGAGAGTAAAGATAAACAAATACACGTGACCGCCGCTTGAGCAAGAGCAGGATAATTGCTGTTGCGGCACATAAGTGAATGAAAAGGATAGCGAAACATGTGGGAAGACTATGGGGCATGTTATGTTGTTCTTTTGGAGCGGAAAATTTAAATGAGTTTGAATTCTGAAATATAGAAAGACGCGATCATACCTCGAAGACAAGTTTGACCATAGGCATGCGCAGTGTAGGGCACTCCGTGGGATTTTCGAAAATTCTAAAAATTTTCATCCCGATTCCGAGCATAATTCTCGCCCCGACTTTTTCCTTTTTCTCATTTCTTTGATCAAAGTCGATTTTACTTAGAAATTGATTTCATTAAGACTGTTAGTGGAACAGTATTAAAATATTATGTATTATATTATGACTGAAGTACAATCACTTTTCTGACCTATCTTTCTTCGGTCGAATTCGGGATTCTTTCCGGCTGATTTTAATCCAGTTCGAATTACTCAAACTTCTACAGGACATAAACGAAAACGTAGACTTCAAGCTTTATTTTGAGCTAAAGTTAAACTCATTTCATCCAATATTAACAAAGTTATTAAGAATTGAAGTTTGGCATATTTCATTATATTATATTTGAAATTTACAGTGAACCTCCAGCAGTCCTGTATCTAACAGATATCCAAAACCCATTTAAATAATTCGGATTTTTAGTTTTCAATGGAAATAGTTAATTTACTTGTGTAATACGTACAATTATATTTTACATAAATAATTGCATCTCAGGAAGTATTTAGCAATAAGAAGCTGAAGGTGAATCCTCTCTTTATGAAACCAAGAATATATAAATTATAAGAAATCAACTCAATTACTTTTCAAGAATTCAACCACTGTTACAATAATAAGTTTCGATTACCATTATTTTAAGAAAAAAACGAAATTTAAATCTAAATGACATTTGACATAAATATTCGTCTGATGGACTTGATCAATGCATGTTAATTGAAGAGTGTTAGTTCGTTCATTGTATTATAATATAATAATAATAATAAGAAAGAATATCAATAAAGAGCGTTCTTAAAATAGCAACGAATGGTGTGATTAAATGTAATTATCATTATAAAACAGAATACAAGCGAAAGTACTTGAGAACGAACATTGAAAACCGTTTAAGAAATATTTGAAAATAGACCTGATAGTAAGTACAGCTTAAAAACAGTGTTTAGGTGTTAAGGAAAGTAGTAATTATGTTAAAAGTACAGATAGATACAGCTTGGAAATACGGAGTATAAATACTACCTAATACCGAAAACCAGCTGGTTTGCATAATCCAAACAGTTAGTACTAAACGCTGAGCTGTTATACACGCGAGGACTACAAGAAAAAAGGAAAATCATGCAGAAATTCGTATTGCTATTCATACTTCTAGTTGTGGCCTACGTGAGTGGTACGTATACAATACTATACATATTTTTTACGAATTTTTCTAAAAAGCAGTTATAATTATTATTTTATTTCTATTCTTCATTTCTCGCTACTCTTTGTATTATAATTATGCATCAACTAACTGTGGAATTTGTTTTATCAGCCGAAAGTAAAACAGAAATGTGCAAGAAACTTGGAAACGAAACTTGGGCATCATGCGGAGCACAGTGTGAACCACTCTGTTCCGAGCCGGGCGTAAAGCCTGATACTTGTGGCGAATTGGTGAGTGTATTTCATTGGTATAATCAGCCACGACCGAGTATTCCGATGGTACTAACGAGAATCAATTTTTCAGCCATGTAAAGGAAGTTGCCGTTGCGCAAAGGATTATAATAGAAACAGCGAAGGCAAATGCGTTTTGGCTAAGGATTGTTAACTACACCGCGTTTTCGTATATATTAATCAACTTAATCACATTGTTAACTTTTGCAAAGAAATAAATATTGTTTATTCATTCATTATCTAATATGGTGGATGAATACTATTGAGT